ATCTGTGGAACAGCTTTTGTGGAAAAGATGTGGAATATCTGTGGAACAGCTTTTGTGGAATGTCTGTGGAACAGCTGTGGAACATCCATGGAACATCTGTGGAACAGCTGAGGAACATCTGTGGGACAGCTGTGACACTTCTGCCCTGATGTTTGTATGTGGAAACACAATCAGTTCAACTTCAATGAGAATGAATTAACCGACAAAATGAAAGAATATTGAACCTGTGCAACACAAACATCAAACAATAAAAAAAATAAAAAATAAAAAAAATATTATCTCTGCTAAACAAAGTTGCTACAGTGTAACATGTTTACGCACTGGTGTCTAAATATCAATTGAACATTTAGTTGAATACCATTTCCATGGATGTCTTAATCTAAAGGTCAAATTTTGTTGACCTCAGGTTCATCACATCCTGGTTTGGCCATTGCACTAAGGACAAAAAATCCTTGACAGAATGAGTGAAACCACTCTGAGAATCACTGGCACACCTCTCCTAATAATCCAGGACATTAACACCTCCCTCTTTCATATAAAGACAAAGAGCATCATGAAGGAATGTAATCACTTTACAGGCCACGTTTTTCTCTAACTACTGGCAAGAGACTAGGGACTCCTCAAACACACACCACCAGGTTCAGGGCTAGTTTGAACTTCAGGCTGATGAGCAGACACCAGGCTGTGATAGAAAGTTTGTGATGTGTAAAACTGATGTTCATATGCAACATGTAATAATCCATGCTGGTCACTTTGGTTAATAATCGTTTAGCTGGAGGGTTTGACCTTGTAGACTTTTAATATTCTCATGTCGTTCTGTTCAGTCTGTGAAGGAATGTTTCAAGTAAGATTTTCATTGTAATCTGTAAAACTTTTACACGATAGTAAACTTTTGAACTTGGGCTTAACTATGACCTGTGTAATCACAGGATTTTATGGGTTAGAGTCTGAACTATCTCTGGGCAATTAAATTGTCTGAGACTGAGATGAGACTGCCGAATCTTGAACTTGTTTAAGCTTGACATCATAGTTCAGTACTTTAATTAATGACTTTGACCTGAACCTTGATTTCATTGATATGATTGTTCTCTGATGTTCTCTCAGGTATTCTGAAAGACTACCTGCGTGAGCTGCCATCTCCTATCATCACCAGGACTCTGTACCAGGTGGTCCGAGAAGCCATGACCCTGCAACCCCTGCATATGACCCCTGACCCCCAGTTGTCCCAAAGCACAGTTGAGCTTCTGGCCTGTCTGCCACCTCCAGAGAAGGTAACAGTACTAATAATAAAGCAGTATTGTATATTCTCATACTATCCTTTCTAAGTTTTATGGTATGGTATGGTATAAAGTTTATTCATTTAAAAAAAGTACAAAACAATTCCATAGCAATATAAAAAAAGATTCAAAAGATTTAAAATGAAAGGCAGCAGAAAGAAGAAAAAATTCTTATTATATCTGCCCCTTTTTTCAAACAATTAGTTCAATCATAATAATTTTCAAGTAACAGAACAAAATAACAAAATGAATAACTCTTTCTAATTTTTCTAATTCTAATACAAAAACACACTAAGCTACTTCATATATTTTTTTTAACAATTCAGCTTTGATCTTTTTCTTAAATGTGCACATTGACTTGACATTTTTCACATCACTCTCTAGAACATTCCACAATCCAACTCCTTGGATTGAGGTAGACCTTCCCTTCAGACTAGTTCTGAATTTTGGTTTGACAAATATCTCTATCCCCTTAAGATTATAACAACTTTGTCTTTTAACAAAATTTCTTTGGATATTTAATGGTAATGTGTTATTTTGAGCCCTATACATAACTGATAAAATACTGTAATCTACCAAATCATGGAACTTCAATAACTTCAGTTGATAAAATAATGTGCTTGATGGGTGGCTGTAATGCTTTCTGGTGATAATTCTTATAGCTCTTTTCTGTAAAACAAAAACAGGTTTTGTAAATGTTTTACACGCTTTCCCCCAAACATCAATGCAATAGATTAAATGTGGAACAATGATTGTGTTATACAACATGTACAGAGCTTTATCATTTAATAATTCCCTGACTTTGTATAGTACTGCAATAGATTTAGCTATTTTTGCTTTTACAGGATTGATGTGATTTTTCCATGTTCCATGTTTTTCCATGATTTATAATAATAATAATGCATTTTATTTGTCAGCGCCTTTCAAAACACCCAAGGACACTTCACAGCATTAAAAACACAGTATTAAGCAATATGAAATAACTATTAAAAACACTAAACCAAAAAGAAAATAACATTTAAAAATAACAGTTAAAGTGAAAAGTCTAACTTGAACAGATGAGTTTTGAGTTTTGATTTGAAAGTCAGAAGGCAGTCAATGTTACGGATGTCCGGGGGTAGAGCATTCCAGAGCTGGGGAGCAGAGTGAGAAAAGGCTCTGTGTCCCATGGTGCTGAGGCAGACAAGAGGCACGTTAAGGTGGATGGAAGTGGAAGAACGAAGGGAGCGTGAATGGGTGGTAATGTGCAGGAGATCTAACGGGTAAGGAGGGGCGAGGTTGTGGATAGCCTTGAAAGTGAACAACAAGCTTTTAAATTGAATTCTGAATGTGACTGGAAGCCAGTGAAGTTGCTGTAAAACTGGGGTGATGTGGTGAAATGAGGGGGTTTTGGTGACGATGTGGGCAGCTGAATTTTGAACCATTTGAAGCTTACGGATTAATTTGTGAGGCAGACCAAAGAGGAGAGAGTTACAGTAATCGATTCGAGAAATGACCAGACTGTGGACCAGGATGGAAGCAGAGTGTGGAGAGAGGGATGGACGGAGACGGTTGATATTTCGAAGGTGGAAATATGCAGACCGGGTAATACTATTGATGTGAGAGTGGAAAGAGAGAGTGCTGTCAAGAATGAAACCCAGACTCTTGACGTGAGGGGAGGGAGAAACCAAGGAGTTGTCAATGGTGAGTGAGAAACTGTTAACTTTAGATAAGGTGGATTTAGTGCCAATGAGTAGAAACTCTGTTTTATCACCGTTTAATTTCAGGAAGTTAGATGTGAACCAGGATTTAATTTCAGCTAAGCAGGAAGTGAGGAAGGAGGGAGGAAGTGAAGAGTTAGGTGCAGTGGATAAAAAGAGCTGGGTGTCATCGGCAAAACAGTGGAAATGAATGTTAAATTTACGAAAGATATTACCAAGGGGGAGAAGGTAGATGATGAAAAGAAGGGGCCCCAGGACAGAGCCTTGGGGCACACCTGAAGTCTGTATTATAACTGAATACTCCATCTGTACTGTTCTCTAAGCTTTTTTTGTTGTTTTCTATTGTATGGGTATACATATGGTTATGTTATGTTTTTAATTTTACTTTATTTGTGGGTGTACACAGGCTTATGTCTTATGTAATGTTCTCATTTTTACTTAATTTTTACTTTATTTTTACTTTATTTTACTTTATTACTATTCGCACCTTATGTCGAAGCAAATTCCTAGTTTGTGAACCTCGTTCATTGACATGGCGATAATAAACTGATTCTGATTCTGAAGTCACAGGAGAGGAATGGGATCTGAATGATTTCAGTTGGATGAACTGAGTGCAGCCAGAAAGATATGACTGAAACCAAGCGAGGGGTGTGTGGGTGATGCCAATGGATGAAAGTCTGTGGAGGAGGATGTTGTGGGAGATGGTATCAAAAGCTGCACTGAGATCGAGGAGGATGAGGAGAGAAAGTAATCCAGAAACTGCTGCCATGAGAAGAGAGTTGGTGAGGAGAGCAGATTCCGGACTTCTGGAACTGAAGCCTGACCCAGTCTGATTCAGATTATCCTGTCTCCAGTGGTAGGCACAGCTTACCAAAGAGTTAGCTTCGCTAACCCATAATCTGTTAACTAAAAAATGTACTTTGCTAAAGCTACATCACTAAACATGTTAAAAAAAAACTTTAGCTAAAGCTAACACTAAATCGTTAAGATGACTGTCACTCATTCTGGTCACACGTCTTTGTCTCCTTCCAGTTGAAACTCTGTCGACCAATCACGTCTTGTCACATGTACACATAGACTGCCAGTAGTGTGCCTAATGAACTTTCGAGAAATGCCCACAACAGACAGGAACAAGCTTATGAATTTTGTTAGCTGACATAAAGTTGGCTCCTCCTTGCATCGCCACCTTATCGTGGTGGAGGAGTTTGTGCGCCTGAATGATCCTAGGAGCTATGCTGTTGGGGGCAATTATAATTGCCCCTGGTAGGGTCTCCCAGGGCAGATTGGTCCTAGGTGACAGGCCAGACAACGAGCAATTCAGAAGATTTTTATGGACAAAACAAAACAAGGAACTCAGTGTCCCTTGCCCGGACGTGGGTTACTGGGGCTCCACCCTGGAGCCTGGTCTGGGGGAGGGGCTCGTTGGCGAGCACCTGGTGACCGGGTCTCTACCCATGGGGCCCGGTCGGGCTCAACCCGAAGGAGCAGCATGGGTTTGCTTCCTGTGGACCCACCACCTGCAGGAAGGGCCATAAAAGTCGGGTGCATGATGCTATGGGCAGTGGCCGAAGGCTGGGACCTTGGCGCTCTGACCCTGGCTTACCAAAGCTAGCTTTTGGGACATGGAATGTAACCTCTGGCAGGGAAGTAGCCTGAGCTTGTGCGCAAGGTTGAGAGGTACCGACTAGATATAGTTGGGCTCACCTCGACGCACAGCATGGCTCTGGAACCGATCTCCTTGAGAGGGGTTAGACCTTATTCCACTCTGGAGTTGCCCATGATGAGAGGCGTCAAACTGGTGTGGGTCTACTTGTAGCCCCCCGACTTTGTGCCTGTGTGTTGGAGTTTTCCCCGGTAGAAGAGAGGGTGGCTTCTCTTTGCCTTTGGGGGGGGAACGGGCTGATTTATTTGTGCCTATGCGCCAAACTGCAGTTCAGAGTATCCGGCCTTCTTGGAGTCCTTGGCAGGGGTGCTGGATGGTGTGCCAGCTGGGGACTCCTTTATTCTGCTGGGGGACTTCAATGCCCACGTGGGTAATGACAGTGTGACCTGGAAGGGTGTAATTGGGAGGAATGGCCTCTCTGATCTGAACCCGAGTGGTGTTCTGTTGTTGGACTTCTGTGCTAGTCACAGTTTGTCTGTCACGAACACCATGTTCGAACATAAGGGTGTCCATAAGTGCATTTGGCACCAGGACGCCCTGGGTCGTACATTTATAGATCGATGAGTGACTTCATAGTCGTGTCATCTGATTTGCGGCTGTTTGTTTTGGACACTTGGGTGAAGAGAGGAGCTGAGTTGTCGACCGATCACCACCTGGTATTGAGTTGGATCAGGTGGCGGGGGAAGATGCAGGGCAGATCTGGTTGACCCAAACATGTAGTGAGGGTTTGCTGGGAACGCCTGGCAGAAGAACTCGTCAGAGAGATCTTCAACTCACACCTCCGGGAGAGCTTTAACCACATCCCAGCTGAGGTGGGGGACATTGAGTCAGAGTGGGCCATGTTCTCACCTCTCTTGTTGTGGTAGCTGCCTTGAGCTGTAGCCACAAGGTTGTTGGTGTTTCTCGCGGTGGCCATCCATGAACTCGGTGCTGGACACCCCGGGTTAGGGACACTGTCAATCTGAAGATTGAGTCCTATCGGGCCCTGTTGGCCAATGGGATTCCGGAGGCAGCTGAGGAGTACCAGAGGGCCAAGCAATGTGCAGCCTTGGCTGTTACTGAGGCAAAAGCTTGGATGTGGGAGGAGTTTGGTGAGACCTTGGATAAAGACTCTCGGTCAGCTCTGAGGAGATTCTGGTAAACCATCAGGCGGCTGAGGAGGGGAAAGTAGCACTTTTCTAACACTTTTGTTCAGTGAAGGTGGGGTGCTGTTGACTTCAACCAGTAATGTCGTCGGGAGGTGGAAGGAATACTTCTCGGACCTTCTCAATCCCAATAGCACGTCTTCCATGGAGGAAGCTGAGTCGGGGGACTTTGGGGTTAGGGCTGGGTACCTTTCTAAAAAAATCGGTACCGGTGTCTGTGTCGGTACCTTCACTTCGGTATCGGTTCCTGGACGGTTCTTTTTTCTGTACGAATTTTGTAATTACTATTAATTCTAACAAGAATAAAATTACGTTACACATTACAGTACAAATTGTGAGTTTTATTTTTTAACTTTGGTATTTTGTATTCCAAGCAGGGTTTTTTTTTTTACATAAAAATAAACAAAGAATTTCCAGTTCAAAAGAACAGTTGCAAACAACAAGTGACACATCAGTATCTAATGCTCACTGCTACACACTGAGGAC